TATATATATAATTTCCATAACAAGTGATGGTAACATATAGTTACTTGTATTTGGCATATAATTGTGCCTGAAAACTACATAATATCCCCCTCTAATGAACTAAGAGAACAAACTTTAAATTAATGTGCAGTTTCATAAACTGAGAGAATGGATCACAGTTCATTAAACCAATTTAATGGATTGCACATCARTTTGCATAATTTAATAAACTGGGAGATCAGATTATGACAACGCCAAATTTTATTTTATTTTATGTAATGTGAAATGCATGATTGTAAGAAAAGCATTTGGTGTAYTGTTGGTCACTGAAAACATTGTAGAATCTTCCAAAACTAATTGACCCAGCATTTTAAATAAAAAACAACGACCAGTTTTTGTCCTTTTTCACAAAGWGTTATAAATTAAGTTGAAGTGCGACTCTGGGGGTGGACACAGTTGGGCACCAAAGGTTTACAAATATGATTTTCACAAAAAAAAAAAAGAAAAAAGAAAAAGGTGAAAAAAGGAGGGTAAAGAGGGACGTCAAGTCTGGGATACGAGCACAAGCGGCATGGCAACACATAGAAAGAGGAAGAAAACAGTTACCCATATGTAGCCTCCGTTTCACCCGCTTGTCCACATCAGCTACTGACGTGGCATTGAACTCAGAGCTCTCAATTGCAGCCTCATCTCTCTCTAAAACAAACAGGGGACAAACAGTGAGCAGCAGGTTAATGAGAAGCCCTGATGACCAGACCTTTAGCCCTATTTGGCGCATGAGAAAAAAAAGCAAAAATAAAAATAAAAAACAAAGCCAGAAGCAAGAAGTGATGAAGAGGAGCCAAAATCCCTGTTAGAGTGTTAATCCCCAAACAATGATCAATTCCCAGCAGCAAGTCAAAAGAACAAAACAAAATGAATAAACTTGATCAGCATATAGCTTATAATGAAGCAGTAGGCATAACATTGGCAGGGGAAAAGATACTTTAGGACGCAAAACATGGAAAATCTTCCTTCGAATTAGAGCGGTGTGAGATTTTAGGGATGGAATGAAGTTGGGGTAAACATTAGGTTGGATTTTGAATCTGATGGTAACAGTGACACTGCTGTTGCCAATGGAGTTTATGTCTTCCATATCAAACAGCCACACTTCCCTAGCAATAATTCCTTTGTGTTAAAAATAGAAGAGATAGAAAAAAATAATTTAAAAAAAGTTCACATATTTAAGCATTGAAAGGAGACGAGCAAAGAAAACAGGTCGATGATGACAGTAATGAAAAGAATAACGGCAGCACGTACAGAGTATGAAAGGACAATTATCATAGAGATGGTGCTCAAAGATCTAAAAACATAAGATGAGAGAGGGAACAAATAAAACAAAGGAACAAGAGAGAGAGAAGCGAGTTTGAAGTCCMACCATGACTTACAATGGGTATGTGAGGAGAAGAGGGTTGCACACTTTCAAAATGGGGTTTAAACGAAAAGTGTGGGAAGAACATGCACARAGATTAAAACGTAAAAAGAAGAAAACAAAGTAGTCTGGGGGCAGTGCTGGTTGCCTGTTTGTCTATGGAACACATCACAGCTGGCTTTAACAGTCAACACCAAACAAACCACATTCCCAAAAAAGCTGGGCAGCAGGGGTGAAGGATGAATGACAAGAAGAGAAATCGAGGCAGGTTACACTGGTTGGAGCTCAAGTGGCATGCATGTCCTACACTGGGGATGGCGATTTGATGAAGAGGCTGGGAGAGGGAGCCAGCTTTTCACTTGGCCCAAGTCATTAAGGCCTGAATGAGCATCTCTGTATGAATGCTGCAATGGAAAAGGCCTTTGATGTCTGGTGGGCTGGATGCAGAGGGGGTAGATATGGGCACAATTATTGTCCTTTCCGTTCCCCGTGCACCACCTTGCTACCTTTTTTTCTCTTGACGGACAACGTGAAGGGTTTCCTGAAGCACACTCGGGAATGAATGGAGTCTTTCTGGTGCTCGGCTAACGGCAGTGAAATGTGGGCGAATGTGCGATTGTTGAATCAAAAGCTTGTGCATTCCAGCTTTTGAGTGTCTGCTTGCTTGAGTGTGTGAAAAAGAAATCTGTCAGAGAGTGGAATAAAATGCATGTGTGTGTGTGTGTGTGTGTGTGTGTGTGTGTGTGTGTGTG